GAGTGCCCATGGATTTCATGGATACTCCCGTGACCAGCAAGAGTGGAAAAAGGCATATATTTGTCATTGTGGATAGATTTACTAAATATGCAAGAGTAATTGCTATGCCTGAGACAGCCAGAACTTACCACATCATCAAGCTCTTTATGGATAACTGGGTACGTGACTTCGGTCTACCTACGTCTATGGTTAGAGACAGGGACGTGAGATTCACCAGCGAACTGTGGCAAAGCACAACCCAACAGATGGGCACCCGGATCCAAATGACATCAGGGAACCACCCTGAGTCAAATGGCCAGGCTGAACAAATGAATTGTGTAGTACAAGACCTGCTTCGGCATTACATCAAGCCAAGTCAGGATGACTGGGACGAGAAGTTGCCTTTCGTCACCAGCCTGTACAATAACGATGTGCATAGCACTACTGGTATGACTCCCAACCAATTACAACTCGGTTGCAAGCCCAGATCAGCACTGGACTTTCTATTACCTGAACAACTGCAAAATGCATCACCTGGCAGCCTAGAGTTCGCTATCAAATACAAACAGATGCTGCAACAGGCTGTAGAACACATTAAGAAAGCTCAAGATGCCATGATTGCATCTGAGAATATGCATAGACGACAGGCCAACTTTCAGGTAGGTGAACAAGTCTGGGTAAAATCATCTGAACTAGGTCAAGAGTTGGGGATTTCACACAAACAAATGCCACAGTACTTTGGGCCCTGGGAGAGTTGTAGGGGATCAACCAGATGGTCGGTCATACATGATTCACATTCCTGCACACTTACGTACTTACTCTGTTTTCCATGCATCCAAGTTGGAACCTTTCGCTGTCACTGATGAATTTCCCTCAAGCAGATCAATGCTGCCCCCAACCATGGATGGACACGTGGACATTTGACGATATCATCGAGCACAAGCTGATGCCTGTACCCAAACCTCCAGGAAGGGGTCGACCGCCAAAACCACAGATGCAATATCGAGTGCGGTTCAGACATCACATTGATCCTCAAGAAGACCGGTGGTTCACAAGAGAGGAATTAATGAAAACTGCTCCCCAAATTATTTCAAGTTACGAGAGGAAGCTGAAAGGGAAGCAGCCTGTAGCATAAGAACTTCTCAAAGGACTATCGAAGTAGAGGAGGAGGGAATGAGAGGATCTGAGTCCTCGGCAGGCTTGAGGGGCCCCTGCTGCATCCGCACGGGCCCTAAGTGAAGGCGGGCCTAATAAATCATGAGAGGCCCTTTGGCTGTCAATTTCGTATTTGGGGTCCAGGCAGTTTTCATCGCGCCAGTTGGTTGAAGGAAACAGGCCGGGCAGCGAGGAAATTCCACGGCCTTCTAGGCTTTTCTGAAAGCGCAGGCCCTGGGCGAGATTCACAGCCTCATACACAGACAGTTAGGAGGCCCAACCGAATGAGGCCCAGTAGCTGCACCAGAGACACAGAATCCTGCGGCCTACCGGAAGCTTCTGGGCCCAGGACCAGGCCAGCCAGGCTGCGAAGGCAGGCAGGCTCTTTCCATATAGGAAAGAGCTCGATGCCTGGAGTGGCATTCAGGCACTTGCTAGCTGGAGGCAGCACTGCTGGAGCTTTCGCTCGCGTGCTGGCTGCTAGCGCTGGAGCAAGGTGCTGCGCACGTGCGGTCGTGTGTGGAAGCAGGGCGCTGCTGAGGGCAGTGCCATAGCCCAGCCTCCATAGCTGGCTGAGGGCTTGGGTGTACAGTGAGGCCCAGGGGCGGTCTTCGGGTGTACTGAGGGAAGACGTGGGTGTAAGAAGGATGATGATGATGATGATGATGTGAGGGCACATACCTGGTATTGGCGGTGGTCTGCATTGGGCGACATCTTCGAGTACTTCGTGAGCTGCTGACGTCAACAGTTGCATTGTCAACTAGTAGGCAGACTGTAGCTGTGTAGGAAGTGGGCTGGGCGCCGAGAGCCAAGTAGGGAGATAGGGCCTGGACACTCATATTGGTGGTGGCGAGAACAAGCTCTCATTGACATTGGTTTTCAGTGTTACGATTCTTCATTGGTGTCAGGGTTGCCGGCGTTCGGGACGGGCCGAACGCCCGAACCCGAACGCCCGAACGTATGGGACCCCTTCGGAAGGCATTCGGCCGTTCGGGCCGAACGCGACCAAAAAAAAAACAAAACAAAAAAAAACAAACGTTACAAAAAACTATGTTATGGAGAAAAATAAACTAAACAACATTTGCCTGGGCACTACATCCAAATTCTTTACCAAATTTGAATTAAAAATCAAATACAGAAAATAAACACTATGATAAAAATAAGAAACAATAAAAAGAGAATTAAAATGAGTGAGTGTGCCAGCACCTTTTCGACACCGCCATCTTCGCCGATTTTTAATTATTTGTTGGCATCGACAAATGCCCTGAAAATGTACAGATATGTAGTTTACATAATCAATAACTCATTAATTTGTTTTTAAAAAATAATAAAATTTTTTAGGCCCAGAAATAAAGTGAAAACAAAAAGTTAAAAGTGAAAAAAAACAAAATAGCGAGTGGGCGAGCACGTTTTGACACCCCCATCTTTGACGATTTTTAATGTTTTTTGGGCATTGCAGAATGGCTTCAAAATTTATAGGCGTGTCGGTTACGTCATAAAGAACTCACAAAAAAACATTCAGAAAAAAAACTTATTTTTAGGCCCCGAAATGTTTTTTGGCGGGGGCCGAACCTGGAGGTGTTCAGCCCCCGAACGTTCGCCCGAACGTTCGGGGGCCAGCCCGGGGGCCCCCGAACGTTCGGTCAGGTAACCCTGATTGGTGTTATATTGGTGCATTTCTGCTTTCTGGACACTGAGATACTATTTGGCCTTCAATGTGATTGTGCATTCTGGACATTGTCATCTCCCACCTTCCACCACAGCCATGCCATATCTTTCCACTCTCTTCCCTCCTGACAGATGCAGAGCACCGCCCATCTTGAACGTTCAGAAGCAACAGCTTCCAACTAACAATTGATTTCTCACAGACAGCACACTCATTCCTTGCTTCCTCACAATCCCTCATTCTTTCTTCCCCAACCATCTCCCTAACACACCCTAACATTTCGTCTGTTTGGAAATCTATATCACTGCCTCTGTTCCCTCTATAGACAACCACAACATCCTGAAGAAATCCACAGACACAAACAGGAGCTCAAGGTTGGCGAAACGCCTCCAGTGAAACATCCGTAAAGACGGAGGGTTTCCATCACCACATCCTGCATCACATTCTCTGGTGTGCGGCGGTGGAACATTCTGGCATTGAAGTAATGGAATGACTGCATCCACGAAGTTTAACATTGTCTCGCTTTCCAACCAAGCCTGCTTGCAGAGCAGTCACATTTTGTGCAGACCATTTCCTTTGTGCCCCCATCTGGCCCCTCAAATAGCTGGTGTCACCACCTCGTCTGCTGGAGGGGCTCCCCACACATCCATAATGTTGCCACTCAACATATGTATGCCCTCCATATCATCGCATACCACCGCTACACCTGGAAGTACACCGATGCCCTTCTTAGCATATCTACTAAAGTCACGACTTTCCTCCAAACCACCCTTACCCAGCTTACCATCCATTCATTGCGAAGTGTGTGCTCCATATGCTCAAAGTTGAGGATTTCCCCAACCAGGGACATTTCACAGCAAAGAAAAGCAAAGACACCAACTGCGCATGCACACAGGCGGGGATTGCGAAACTCATACAGCCACAGAGGGACGGGGGAAAGGGAGGATGGAAACAAGGGAACGTATGCATCATTTGAATTGCACAGAAACAGGCCGGGGGAGGTTGGGTGACGCGGACAGCTGCAGAGGGACAAGGCCAGAAGTGGGGGGAAAGGGACGATGGAAACAGGGAAATGTAAGAATCATTTGAACGCTAGATGATGTGCCATTTGAATGCTGCTGTGGCCCCTCTGTGCTTGTTTTTTGTGTTTTTTTTGTGTGTTAGCATTGCTCTTAGCGTGCCACGCCACGGTCAGAGCTACAGCCTGCAGCAGTCCACTTCTTTTTTTTTAACCCCAAACAAGAGCCTCTTCTATTCCAGTTGCTTATTACCAGCAAGCAAACTGTACAACAAATTTTAGATAGTTCAACCTTAACCTTCTCCCCCTCTCCCCCCCCCCCCCCCCCCCCCCCCCCTCCTTCACAGTAGGTATGGCCCTTCCCACCCCCCAGGCGGCAGGGCCAGCAGCCTGGGGCACAGTCACTGTAATCGGGAGATTCACCATGGTACCCAGTCATTACAGTGATCATCCCTTAGGCAGTCCCTTACTACCCAAGGCGGGGAGAGGAGGGGCCTCTTTTTCCTATTTCCCCCCTTATCTGTATTCCCCCGTGTCACAGTCTCCCCCTCCTGAGTTATCCTCTTCACTTTTAATTTTCTCTTTTCTTTTTATCATTTAGGTCAGTTCGCATACCAGCTCTTCCTCGAGTCTAGGGTCCCTTCACCTACTCCTATGTCCTGTACAAACAGTCGTATATTTTAAGCCCCTAGTGCTACAACATCTGTCAGGACAAACAGTCATAAATTCATAATATGTTAGCAACCATCACGTGTGTACCAACAATCCACCCTCACAACCCAGCTTATAAGATGTGCCAAAACATGAGCAAACTGAAAAACAGGAAGAGGTTGAGATGGAGAAACCTCAGGAGGGAGTGAAGAATGCACCACCACACGATGATGTCACAACAAGCAATGTTCACGTAAGGATACCATGCAAGCTCTACTAAGAAGTATGAAAAACTGATTCATTTGCACTTGGCTGTACTCACGACTGTATGACATAGTCCACAGTTGTGTTGTATCTTTCTAGTACAACCTTTGTGTACACTTGTGTTTTGTCCGTCACAACCTTGTTAGATGAAAAAATGGGGACAATTCACGAATCATGCACATCTCTGCTGGAGAAGCAAGCTTTTATCTTGCTTGCCCACCACATCTTCAGTTCTGTAATTGTGTACATGAGGAGATATTTTGTTACCTGCATATGTCACGAAGCATCTTCAATCTTCGTCTCCAGCTCAATCGCGGACCTTGCCCGCTTGTGTGGATCAGATAGTAAAGGGATCCCATATGCATGTACTCCGTGACCATGGACAAGTGAGGAGGCTTCGTACAAGCTCCAAGAAAGAGGATTACTGCAAAGAAACAAACAATGCCCATCCATCCATCCATCCATATCCATCCATCCATCCATCCATATCCATCCATCCATCCATCCAAGGTTCCATCCCACCATCCATGCGCCAATCATCCAACCATCTGACCCTCCATTCAGACATCATTCTACCTTCCCATCTGTCCTTCCACTCCTTTACCCACCTAAGCATCCAGACATCCACACGATTCCACATGCTTACTGACTCGATTAAACATGCAACCAGAATGTGAACCTCTGCACACCGATCCATGCCTTGAACCACTGCTAATCAACCACACCTAATCCACTCATCCATTCCCAATACATGCACAATTGTTCATCCACACATTCATCCATGGCTTGCACTCCATCTATGTGTCCACTTTCTGCCCATCACCCCGGAAATAATGCTATCCACCCATTCATCCATCAACATGGGTCAGGAATGCCGAAGCACGATGAATTGTTGACGATGTTGGCAGATTCGCTGTTGAAGGTTGATAAGAGAGATCACCTATGGGAGACAGATAAAAAAGAGCAAGTGGACTTGGGCAGACTCAGAGGAGATGAGAAATTGAAGATTTTGGTGAATGACTTGGTAGAACCAAAGAAGGCAGTGCAACGGCATAGGAGACTGACTCCCCTCGCTGGTTTGAAATGAAGGGTATTTTTTCCAGCAGGTGAGGTCAAACACCTCTCCGAGTCTAATTTCCACTGCACTTACATTTAACCAGAGTCAATTGTGATCGTCGGGGTCAACAAACTCTCTCAACAAAGGCAAATGGTTTAGGGTTTAGGTCAAAGGTAGGAGCAAAGCCAAGGGAAAGGAAAAGAAAGGGTGGATATGGTCGACTGTGTAATACTGTTACAGCATAGTCTTCTGACCATAGCTCCATTCTATTGCGGTGAGCATCACCTAATTTCGTCAAGTCAGACTGCCGTCGAGGCTGTAAAATGGCCAAATGCCCAAGGCCAGGAAATGAACACTCTGTTTTCGTTTAGCAGAAAGAAAACCAGTGCTGAGCAAGCTTCAGCACCAAACTAAGGGAATGTGTAAGCTACATACTCCTCACAAATACCAAGCCCAGCCCTCGGCCAATGGAAATTAGGGAATCTATTTGGAAATTTTCACTCTCATGCAATATGTTCCGCATTCAATTTGGCGAATTTCAATCTCATGCAGTTTCTTGCTCCCATCCTCAGCTTGTGAAGCGTGGAGTCAAGAAACTGATCCATGTATGAACATCCAAGTCATGACTGTATTCACACATGCAAGCTTTTTTCTTTTTTTTGGTCACAATATGTTCTAAATTTGTCTTCTCACACATCAAGCTTTTTGCGCCTGACTACTTTCTTTTCCCTTCTGTTCAATTTGTTTGTGTTTCTATCCCTCCCCTTCTCTTCACGTTTGTTAGGTTTGGTTGTTCCTCTCAATCTTTTCTCAACCTACACATTTGAATCTGCATCTGTCCATGACCTACACATCGGAATGTGTATCTCGCCACAACCTACACATCTGAATCTGTATGCCCGTCAGCCATATCTCGGTTGAGAATCAGATCTACAGGCCCGTATGGACCCCAGCAACCCTGCTTGACAACATGCGTTCCAGCTTGGATCTGAGCTTGTAGACTACAGCACTCAGCTTGAAGGTTCTGTATGGAATGAGGGTCACTGCTCGTTGGAAATGGCTTATCCTCAGTGAAAGTGAGTTCTTGAGTGGAGTTGTGATGCCAAATTAGCAACGCTTTGGATCCCACCACTAAAACATATGTGGCGCTCGCTGCAGACCAGGTGCAACACACCCACGGGCTCAAATGATTTAGAATCTTGACTTCACACGGCTGTACTGTCATAAGGGCCTTACCCTGCATATACATCCCACAGCTTCACGGCAGATGTGCCAATCAGGTCTGGTCCCCACCACAGGGGGAGGTCGGATTTGCCAGAATGTCCGCTCAATTCATCCACCTATGGCAGTTGCTGAGGTCTAAACTGTTATGGTGCCCCTCGATATGAGAACAGGATCAAACTGCCTCCACATCACAGGCATGCCCTTAGGGCCTCCCAGTCGAATACAACCTCCCACTGTGCTTGTAAGAGCTGCTTGATCCCGAATTGAACCCTGCCAATGTGGCACTCCATGTGTCATTCCACCCTGCCTTTTGAGATTTTTCCCCAACACTGGAACCAAATTTTGTTGCAATCTTCCCCTAGCCCACATGGTTGGGCACTCTCCATCATAGGGTTTGCTCACCTGCACGCACCTGGCCCTGATCTTTTCGTTCATCCGTCCGTCCGTCCGTCCGTCCGTCCGTCCGTCCGTCCGTCCGTCCGTCCGTCCGTCTGTCAGTCAGTCGGTCAATCAATCAATCAACCAGCTAGCCAATCTACCAATCAATCTATCAATCAATCTGCAAGTGAACCACAAGATGAATCACCAAATCATGACAGCATTGTGTACAAATTGAGGAGTGTTAACTCAAATCACAAAGCAACGGCAGACATGACAATGTTGTGATCACAATTGCTCAAAATAATAACAACACTTTGATGAAGAAAACACTACCTCTTCATTCCTCCACCACCATACAACCACAACCAGCCAATGTGATCACACCAACCCTACCGCAAGCCTATCACTAGCCTAGTTTATCACCACTTTTCCCGAAATGCTGTTCAGCAGAATGCTGCTTTCATGGACTAATAATCACTGAAGGCCCGATTCCAAAGACAACCCAGGTAAGTCTCCTCTTCGATTCTCTTCTTAACGTGCAACGCTTGGCACTCGCCCAAGCCCACAGGAGAAGTTCCATCATGGTGCCCACCACTCTCTTTCTCTCTCTCTCTCTCTCTCTCTCTCTCTCTCTCTCTCTCTCTCTCTCTCTCT